CCAGTGCTGGCTGGTGTTCTCTCTGCTGATCTGGACGTCATCTGTGCTGGTAGAATGGGTATAGCACGTATGACCGCGCCGAAAGAGGAGTTGAGCAGGCGGAAGCACGAAATTTGGACTGAGGTGATCGGTTTGGCAGGATCGATGGATGAATGACTCAAAAGGACGCGAGCTCTATCGATTTTTCACGGAGGTGGCGTTATGCCTGGGTCTCACCGGACTATCAAACCTCTTAAATTCTTACCGGACATGGATGCTTTCGGAAGAGACTGAGTGAAATGCGACTATGTGAAACAAGTACGTGTGAGTGTGGTGCGATAGAGAAAGAGGTTCACCATGTTCTATGGGAATGTCCTTTATATGACGACCTAAGAGCGAAAATGATGGATGGACTGGTTCGTCCGGTACAAGGACCGATCTATATCTAACAGCGGGGAAAACTACGGGCTGTTGCGCGAGTTTGCGCATAGATGGCATAACCGCAGGAGAAGGCAAAAAAAATGCTGGCAGAAAGGCCTGACGACGTAGGTGTTAGTGTCGTCAGGCCCAGAAGGCGAAGAATGACGTTAAAACTGGGACAAGGTATAGACGAAATATTTTTAGGGAGTCAAGAAAGTGCGCGCGGGAAAGAGCAACGTGCAAGTACCGCGCGCATCTACCGAGATTCGGCCCGTATGACCTGAGGGTCGGTGGGGCCATGGTATCTGGTGGGTGCCCATCTCTGGGCTGGTACTCCCCAGTGCCAGCTCCTTCCACTTGACCGCATCCAGCGCAGAGCGGCTCGAATCGTCGACGGCCGAGTCCTCTCCGAGCGTCTCAATTCACTGGCGCTGTGAAAAGATATTGTAAACCTTTGCATTTTCTTTCGCATCTACCACAGAGAGATCCATAGAATCCAAGGAATTGTTCGGATTAATTCCCGTCGCCAAATCTCACGAACGCACATCGCGGCAAAGCTCACGATAGAGGATGCTTGGCCGTTCACCACTGTATGTTTTACTAGAAGTTTTCTTTCTCGTACAAACTGTCTGTGGAATAGTTTACTATCGGCGATTTTTCCGGACCGATACGACTTAGGAACCTTCAAGAAAAGAGCTTACTCCTTTCTGAGAGGCCGGCAACGCACCTGCAATTCCCTTGGTGTTGCAGTAGTTCATGGGAGGTGGTAGTCACTTACCATCAGGTGAGCCGTATGCACGTTTGCCCCCTCTCCTAAAAGTAAGTAAAGTAAAGTTGCAGTCTATTTACGTCCCATTGCTGGGCACAGGCCTCCTCTCATTTCTGAGAGGGTTTTAGGGCAAGGAATTGTCCACATGTCTTCGAAGTATTTTTTTTCTTATTTCTCAGACATGCAGGCTCCCTCACAATGTTTTTCTTCACCGCCGAGCACGTGGTAAATCAGCATTTAAAATTGCAATTAACAATTTCATTGGTGCCGACGGGGATCGAACCCGGGTTGCTCGAGTACTGTGAAGCTTACAGCGAGCGCTAACCATCTGAGCTACCACGGCTCTCCTATATGAAAAAAAAACGCTAGAGATCCGGAGAGATCAGCCCACCTTGACGCTCGACTCACTCACATTCGTACGAATACGCTAAACCACAAAATGTAGGACGACATTTCCAAATGATTATGCAAAGATTTGCTGCATTCGCAGGTAGTTCCAACACAAGTATTTTATAACTTACTGCAGCTACCTCAATTTCTGTAATGCATGACAATGTATTGAGAAACAATAAAACAATGATTATTATTATTATTCGCGGTCTTCCAAGCTGTGTTTTTAATGTGAAGGTAACGAACGTTTCACCATTTTCATAGTTCGTGACGTCTACTGTGTAGCGTACTAAACTAACTTCATCATGGATTGGAACAACGCCAAGGTGATGGAGTTCATTAAAGTCACAAACAGAGACAGAACATTGTAAGCCTAACCTCACGGCACGCATAGGGTGATAGACAACACCCCTGGCCGCCACCTAAGCTTTATGGGGGGCCGATAAGGGTCTGATAATCTCTCCTCTGACTCGTAGCTCTCCGCGGCGGGTTAGAATATCTGCCGTCCTTTCTCCCTTTTTTTCTTCTACGAAGCCTCCTTCCGCGACATCACCTGCTAGAAAAAGGTAACACTGACGCTTCATAGAATTCAATCAGTCTTAATCAAGGCTGGGAGCAAGAGATCGTCATTTACTACAGCAAGAAAGTGAAGACGCAACTTAGCTCAACCCGAGCTATCTTCTAGGGTAGGCTGCATTGTGTCCTTGTCGCTACTGTAGCTGTGGTACTCGAGTGTCAGCCGGCTTCATGTCATGCCCTGCCATGCTTAACAACTGAAGTCAGTGACTCGTGCGGCCTTTTTATCCAGCCTGTCACAACAGACTCGACGGTTCTGCTTCCTGCAGGCCTGTTCGCTAATTTCGTTGGCAACAAAGACATAGTCACTTTGTACATACTACATTGCGTCGTATGCTTCAAGTATAGCTTTTCTATGAGCTACCACGCCTTATAAAACATACAACGCAATGTAACAGATTGATCAATAAGTTTTTGGAAACGCAATGAAACTCTAAGATAAGTAAGAGTATATGTAAATTTTATTTATTTTTTAACGTAATCGCCTTGTTTAATACACGTTGAATAGCGTTTTGTAATCCTTGATTCCCTTGGAAAAAAGGCTTGATCCAGGGACTCAAAAAAGAGCCTCTACAGCCAGAGGAGTAGCGTGCCTTAGAGGGGCCTTGTATCAAAATTTTTCGGGGGGCCCAAATGAAGGGTAAAGATTTTTCACAAAGGAACAAAAACTCTCGCAATTAAAATAATTATATATTGATTGTAAGTTATTACTTACAATTAACACTCCGAGGAACTCAGCTAGCCAAACAATTCAAACCAACATCCTCTTCCATAAAAGTCCTTAGAATTTTTGCTTACATACGTTCAGGGCCTCTGTAGCCCGGGGGCCCCGTATCATTGATACGGTGATACGGCGGTAGCTACGACCCTGTCTACAGCACACCACCACCATGTCTTCGCCATCGAATTGTATAACACGCTTTTTCAGGTGAGTAAAAAGGTGAAAATCACTCGAAGCTAGCTCCGGAGAATAAAGTGGGTGCTGTTTCAACTTAAACCCTGCTCTGATGGCAGCGCCTGCAACATCAAATCGACGGGCAGGGGCATTATCATGATGAAAAAGCACTCCAGAGCACGCAATTTTTCTCGACGTTTATTCTTTAGTTCTTCGCGTAGTTTTTTCATTAATGATGTGTGATCTCCAGTTATTTTCTCTCCTTTGCTTAAATAATCGATCATGTTTATACCTTCCGCATCCCAGAAGACAGAGGCCATTATTTTTTCAGCAGACGCAGACACCTTGATTCTCTTGGCTAGCGGGGAAAACGGTCTTTTCCACACCTTGCTATGGTTTTTCATCTCCGGGTCAAAATGATGTACCCACGTTTCATCTACGATTACGAAATGAGCGCAAATAGAAACTGGATTTTCTTCAATTATTGCTAAATTTAGCTTTGAAATGTCAACTTTTGCTTTCTTTTGGGCGTCTGTTAACATTCAAGGAATTTAGCATGCAATTTGAAATTTAGAATTGTCATAAACGCAAGTTTTAGCATCTCAGTTAAATATCGGACGGTCACACATCGATCTACCTTAACAATTGTTGGCCGTACGGAGCGAGTTTCGTCATTGCAGGCGGTTCTGCCGCGTTCAAGTTTAGCGCACCAGTATGCCACTGTAGAATCAGACAGAGCATTGTCTGCCAAAGTAGACCAAAATTCTTAAAAAAAAACTTTTTGTACTTAGAATTTTTTAAGGCAGAAATATTTAATAACCGCACAGAGTTAGAGTCAAAGATATTACAAAGATAATATGTAAGCTTTGGTTAGTTTCTCCATTTTGCATATGAATAAAATTCCCGCCAAGTTTTTTTCTGGCCTTGGCAATTACGAATTTAAGATCCGAAAAAAAATAGTACGCATAACGTACGTACGAGAAAGTTCCAGAACCTGCACCTTTATTTATTTTAGAGCCACCCGTGAAAATTCTAAGCTCTTTTGGGATTAATCCCTACGGCTGGTTAGTTTCATTTAATTGCTATGGGTTAGCCATAAGATCATATTTTTTTAACAAGTTGTAAAATTTAAAATACGCGCTTATACGTGGAGTTGCAGAAAATAGCCCGTCGTAAACTAAACTAAACTAACTAAATTAAACTAAGCTCTTAATGGCTTCCAACAAGCGAATAAAGTAAAAGAACTAAAATTACACTCTAAATTACGTAACCAAATACTAGATGGGGACCTAAAACACTACAATACAATACTTTTTATTGTACACCAAGGAAAGATATTTAAAACATAAATATTGAGAAAAAAACAAAAGGCAGTCTTATTATTTAGCATAGCAATTTCTTCCAGACAATGCAGAGAAAGAATTAAATAAAAATAAGAGAAATATTAAAGGGTAGAGCGCATTAAGATAAGAAAAGTTACCATCTTGTGCATTAAAAATACAACATATTTTATGTATGTCAGTGACCATAAATAAAAGGAAGAAGAGAAAGAGGTTAGAGAGACAAATAGTAATCCTTAACCTGTTTCTTGAACTTCAATCTATGAGTAAGACAAATTGGGAGCCACTTCAGTTTAGTGCGAAAAAATAATTAGGTTTAAAATTAGGTATGTATCATATATTATCACAGCATTGTCTTGAGCTTTTATGAATATATTAGATGTAAAATGAAACAAAGTAATAATATAATCGAAACAATTTATACAGTGAAACTGTAATATTTAAGACTAGTATAAAAATAGCAAAAGCTACAGCACTGAGCAAGTTCATTTGTGACCTACAAAAATTTTAATAAATATTTACTCTATTACTATAAATTTTACACAATTTGTAAATAATCTATGACAATGATTACATTAATAGGCATTTTACACTGTGTGCTTTGATTGCAGTAAAATTGTTAAAATGTATGCTATATATTAGGTGTGAATGGCTTGGACACTGTATCAGTATTGCCCTTGTATCTAATCTCTTTGATTGTCAATTGTTTTCCTTGGTGGATCCTTTGTAAATGACTTCTCATATCATACGACCGTGAAAATGACCTATGGCACACTGGACATTGTGTCTTCCCCGCATGTGAATCTTTATGAAGTGTTAAAGAAGTAGGATGTTTAAATCCCTTTGGGCATAACTGACACCTAAACTTAGCCAAAACAGCATCTGAAACATAAAAAATACCATGTTAGAACTCTAGTCTGAATAATGAATAAAAGTCACCAGTAGTTGTGGTAAGAGGTAGGATATACTTAAAAAATATCATAATAAAAAACTGCAGTTGCTACCCGTACCAAATGTGGCAACTATTGCAAAATCCCCCTTGTGGAGCAACTTCTTAGGAAGGCCTATGTTCAGCAGTGGATTTTTATAGGCTGTAATGGATACATGAATGTATGATCTGATATTAGTTTTATAAGAGATAGATGGAATTATATTTAACTATCGGATTATTATTTAATAATATTGTATTTCTACTAAATGTAACATACTCGGACCACCTATTAGTAACAGCTCCAACAGTGCAGACGTCGGGTATTGAGATTGCCATTCTGGCTACCAAATGCAAGAATTGCGGCAAAACATCCCAGCTTTGATAGTAATTAGTAGTAAGTTTGTAGATGTCCATGTCCAGCAATCAACCATTTATTGGCTGATGAGGATAAAGATTAAGGTAAGAACTACATTTTTTGATTTTATTTAATTTTACAAAATTTTTTGCTTTTATCCATTTCATTATTTATTACTAGCTGTTCCTCGCGACTTCGCCCGCGTGTAATATAGGGTTTTAATTTTGTTGTGCAACCCTAATTATTTTTCAAAACTATAAATAGCCAAAGTTACTCCTTATAACATGAGCTATCTACCAGTTAAAGTCCCGTCAAAATCGGTCCAGCTGTTTCGGAGATTAGATGGAACAAACAGACAGACAAAAATTAAAAAAATTGTTTTTCTGTTACAGGCACCGTATATTACTTTTATATGCAATTAGTAAAAAGCTGTTATTTGACGTTACAAACAGACACTTCAATTTTATTTATTTGTATAGATAAAAAAAATATTTTTTTTTTGGATGTACCAGTGAATTCGCAGTTTCTGTTACATAAAGGCAGCAACTGAATATAGTATTTTGTGTGTATTATACACATACACATATTGGCAGACATTTGCTGATCATGTCATCCCAGGTTCGATTCCGTGGTCGGGCCAAAATTGAGTTTCTTCTGACAAGAAATTCCTAATAGCATTCCGGACTCAGGGAGTTGGTGATGTCTCACCTCTATCCCTCGGAAAGCACTAGGCCTGGGTCGTATCGCGTTTTCTGAGAATCGTATCTATATCAGATTTCGAGTTTTAATATCTGATATCAAAACTAATTATAAACTAATTTCACTACCTAGATATTCTGCGTACGCGTTTATATTTTCTACACCGACACGCTGTTGAAATCCCATACGAAGATTTTGTAGTTACTCTTACCTATTTGATGCGAATCTGTATTGTAGATGTACAATATATAGATTAAATGTATACTTCTTTGAGCTAATGCAGTTAGTTAATCATAGTTTTAACATTCTTATTTTAAAGTTTTGACCTCGGTTTTGGTTAAGTCAATTTAGTACAATTTGCTTTATCTACATACATATCGATGGCTGTAAATAATGTAGGTACATAAATGTTAATAAATTAAATAGCTGATTCCCACGATTTTGTCCACGTAGAACAGATTTAAAAAGATAGCCTTGGGATTTCTTAGTCCTTTCTTTGAGCGGATCTACTTAAATATGTAATAGGGACATATTATGTATATGCGATTTACTGAATTCTAAAAAAAAACAAATGAACCAATTTTAATTATATTTTACTAACTTAATGTTCATAAAGGTCGGTTGTAGTTGGTTCTTCTTATTTGGAAATAATTTTCATATTATGATCTTGATTAAAAAGTTATAAGCAGTTCAATTAAAATAGTAGATATTTACAGTGTCTTTATTATTTATTTACAACACAAAATGTATTAAAAGAATAAAAAGTGCAACTTTCTCCTTCCACTATGTGTATTCTACAGGAACTAAAAATAAATTGACAATTCAAAATAAAATGATATAATATGCACTCGATTTTAGTCTTTAACCTCATATATATAAGATTAAAGTTTAGGGAATAACTTTACACGGTAACAAATGTCATTAAAATAGTTCTTAAAATTAATCAAATCAAATCATTTATTTGCAATCCAAGTGTACAACTTGTAGTTCTATCTTTATTTAGACTCTTTGGTAATCACATTTAAAATTTTAAAAGTTTACCACTGGAAAAAGACAACAGTTGCGCGCTATACTTTTAAATTTTAATTAAAAGATTTTGACATTAACTTCGTAAGACACCTTTTTTTCCAGAGTTTGTTTACAAAGTTTGTTAAGTACATGAATTGTATAAATTTAATGTTATGCACTAAATATTGTGCACGTATAAAATAAAAAAAGTATTTTGCGATTTGACTATCAAAGTTACCCTTGTTAATCAGTTACCCCGATTGACTGTAATTCAAGCAATTTGTAAGATCTTCTTCGGCAGTTCAATGGCTGCTACCACAGATTGCTCACAATGCTTGACGTACAAAATTACATTAATTTTACTTCAGTACCTAAATTTTACTCTATTTTCTAATGTTATACAATGTTTGCAATTAAAAATTTTTAATTAAATTGCCAAATTACAATACATTATAATGTTATTATATACAATTTGTCCAATATATAACATTTTGAACAGTTATATGCAGTTTTTAATCAAGCTTGTTCTATTTTAAAGTTTCAAAATTTGATATAAGAAAAGTGTGCATCTGCTGCAAAATAAAAAGTTACTAAGTGGAAGGGTACTAACTTCCATTCACTACAATCTTCAGTCACAAAGCCACAGCTAGTATTGATACTAAACCTAACACAAAAACTCTCCATACTATTCTAATATTTAAACACAAATTATATACAAACCAGTATTTTTCTCCGACAAATCTTCAGCAGATGTAGATTGCGTATCAACCTGCATCTCCTCAATGGGTAATAAAGTTTCTCCTGCCTTCAAATTTGTACTATCATCAGTTCTGACATTCTCAACTTGAAATTCTGAATCAGGAACGTCATGGGAATTTTTTTGTGCATTAGCCTCTGGAATTTGTTCATGCCTGTTAGTCTGAATTGTAGCTAAATTTATTGGTTGATCAGGAACAGGTACTACATCTTTATTTATTCTACTTGACTTTGAACTTAGGTCTAATGAAGTATTGTCAATGAACCTTATTTGGGTTTTAGATGTGTCTTCTTCTACATTGTCTGTCAAGCCTTTTACCTCTAAAAGTTCTGCTGTAACTAAAAACGATTCCAATTGTTCCTGAAAGATATTAACCTCACCATGATACATAAAATTTATAATTGCATTTAGATCTTCAAACTTGAAGTTCCTAAATATGATTACAGGGTGCTGACATGGATTTTCCTTGAAAATTTCTTTGAAATAACTACTACATGCAGACAATAGCATTTTGTGAGCCCTAATTTTGCCACCATCACAACATAATGTAACATCCACCAAGTCGTCAGAAAACCGAAGTTCATTGAATGCTTCAGTTACGTGAGAAACGTAGTTATTCCATCGTAACGAAAATTGCAACGCATTATTCATTATTTCACCACACTTCAGTCAAAATTCTAAGAAAAACAATTCAATATCAGTAGAATTGCAAAAAACTAGAGTAAGTGCATAAATTAAAAAAAACTTCTTGCTATTCGTATTGGTAAATTCCAAAGAGTACTAGGGATGTTCGAGTTCGATGATCATCGATGTTAAAAATTAAAACATCGATGTTACCGCATGTCAAACATCGATATCAAGGAACTCATAATCGATTATTGGGAACTTGCGAACTCGCGAAATCAATATCAAATAAATCTTGCATCTCCTCTAAAAGATTTAAAATTTTGAATAATTTAGAACTCCTGAACGCATCAATAACCTAAAAAATGTCATGGTGTATCAAACTTAACTGTCAAGTGTCAACTGTAAAGTCACAGTTGTCACTACTTTCGCTTTGTTATTCTGTGGTAGCGTTGTTGGTTATCTGTTTCTTTGTCGGTTGTTTTTTAAACAGTCCGGTGATTGATCTTAAACAAGATTCAATGCATGTTTAGAACAATGTTAATGGTTCTATTTATTTAAAATTCAAAAAAACTTGCGGTGAGATATTTGACCACTATAGCTACATCAACGCCACCTGAGCGGTTATTTGCACAAGCTGGCTTAACTTTTTATCAACAGAGAAACAGATTGAAAGGTACTTCTTTGTCAAAATTACTATTTTTTCTATCAAATCAATCGGCAAAAAGTTTTAGACTATATTAGATATTTGTGAACTTCTTCCATTTTTTTTTAAATACCGTTTTACACTACATTGTTTAATAGTTTCTCTTATTTCATTAATAATAAACCATAAACAATATGAATATTTTCTATTCATTTTTGCGCTTAATGCAAGGTTACCCTCCGGAAGCGGGGGAGGGACGTGGTGAATGCGCATAGCATACCACTGCAGCCGGCTGCGTGGTTATGTGGGACTCACTAAGAAGTGCCTACCCACTAAACACCACCTGTGGGACTGACTCTGGCCTGAGTGTCCTCTTTGCCGCAGCGGAAACGATCCCCCTTATGGAAGAGGGGCGTGGGACACACACCGTCGGGGACGGGAGCGTGGGTCAACTATCACAGTCAGGGGTGGCGGTGAAGATGTGGGTGTCGCATGAGCGAGAATGCACTCACTGTACGGGGATGGTGAGCACGGTCTGCTAAGACAATCGCACGGGAGCGGCGGCGCTAGCGGAGGCGGGACGTGGGAGGGAAGGCACTCACCGTAGGGCGGTAGTGTGGATGGCTAACGCAACCGCATGGGGGCGGTGATGCTAGTGGAGGCGGGACGGCACCCACCGCACGGGGACGGCGAGCACGGGCACCTAACACAACCGCACGGGGGCGGCGGCGCTAGTGGAGACGGGAGGGTGCACTCACCGTACAGGGACGGTGAGCGTGGATAGCTAACACAACCGCATGGGGGCGGCGGCGCTAGCTGCGGTAGGACGGGACGGGACTGACGTTTTATTCCTCGACTGAACTGACTGAGGGAATCCCGTACGGGGACGGGTGCTCGGTCAGCTGGCGTACTCCGCTAGCGCACGACCGCATGGGGGCGATGGCGCAAGCGGAATGATTTCTATTCTTATTATTTGCGCCCAGAAGCAATTGAAAGGACTACCCTCTGGAAAGCGAGGAAGGGAGGTGGTGAATGCTCTAAGCATACTACGACAGCCGGCTATCGTGGTTATGTGGGACTCACTGCGATTAACCTAATCTAAGTGCCTACCCACTAAACACCACCTGTGAGACTGGCATTTGCTTTTGAGGCCTTTCTGCCGAATCGGAAGCGACCCTCTTTTGGGGAAAAGGGGACGCATTGTTTCTATTCATTTAATTCTAACTTATATACATGTGCAAAAACATCGATAATGGCCAACATCGATGTTTTGAGTAGAATAAATATCGAACATCGATGTTGAGCTATCGATGCCAACATCGATGTCATTATCAATGTTTCTGCAACATCGATCATCCCTAAAGAGTACCTATCCTATAATGCCCGGGCTACACTAAGAGAAATGCCGGTAATTATCGCGTTGATGGACGTTGAATGTAGGTGTGGCCACTACTTAACGCGATAATTCTACAACGGCAAGAACAATGCCGTTTCCCGTTGAACGATAAAGGATGATTCACGCTACAACGTGTCGCCACCGGGCCGTGCCCGGCCGGGACACGTCCACCGTGCGCTGGCCGGGCCAGTCATTCATGTTACACCGGGCTGTTTGCACGACCGTGGCTTATGCACGACTCTGTGTTATGTGGTTTTTGTCAGCTAGTGATTTCATCTGTCGATAGACTTCACGCTTACATAAATATGCAATTTTCACAATTTGAATTGGCAGCTATTGCAATTGCCATCGATGATGAAGTATTGGAAAAACGAAGCGAAACTACTAAAAGAAGATGGGGTGTACATCCAACCTGGAGAAAGCGAGAAGCAGAAGGAGAATTTGCTTTACTTTACAAAGAATTAATAGATGATGAGAGCAAGTTTTATGGTTATTTTAGAATGTCTAAAGAATGCTTTACTTTTTTACTTGAAAAAGTAAAACCAGACCTAACCAAAAAAATTACAAGATTTCAAAAGCCTATATCTCCCATCGAACGATTAGCAGTCTGCATCAGGTAAATAATAAATTGATATGCACTAAATCACATAGTATTTAAAAATGTAGTATTACAAATTGACCCGTCTCACAACCATCTATCAGAGCTGGTTGTAAGATGGGTCGATTTTTTCTAAATACTTCATTTTCAATTTTTCAATAATCAAAATTGCATTGTGAATGAAAAAAAGTAAAAATTTAAATAATTCGCATAGTATTTATTCATTTCATTAGTCTGCCGTGAACTCTAAAAATAAAGTAGACAAATTATTAGATTCCAAAGGCGTAAGTTCCGAAGGCGAAGGTTCCGAAGGCGTAGGTTCCGTAGGCGTTGATTCCGGTGTTGGCGTTGGTGTAGTCATCGGAACCGGTGCATACACCGACCTTGAATTAGTAGACGACGCTGACGTTGTTCCACTCATTGGAGATGTGTAAGAAGAAGGCTCTGATGACAATTGCTCCCACTCCAAATCTTGTACTACTGCAAATATTCTTCCTTTTGCAAGATGCTGATAGTAAGGGGAAAAAGATTTTATGGTGGCTGCCAAACCGTTGAAGAAAGCATCAATAGGATGAATGTCTTGTGTGTTGGACTTTTCTTTATTTTTTAGAATGTATTCCATTAATGCGCTTGACGCAGAAGACTGGGATTGTGGCACTATACGACGGCGATTGTGTGCAGTTGCAACGGTTGCATTGCGATTGCGGTTGCCGGAACGAGTGAATTGTGCAGTTGACGGGGGATATGGATTCGGATCAGCAGGTAGCGTAAAATTTGGTTCACTAATAGCTGGTGAGCGATCTTCCTGCTGCTGCTGTTCATCGGTGTTAATTGTTTCGTTGGGCGTAGTAACTGGCGAAGTAACCGTTTCGTTTTGCGTCTCTTCGTTCTCAGACTCGATACTTGTTATTGTATTTCGATCCTGTATATGAGGCAGTAAAAAATTCAAGCTCTCTTCATATTTATATTTTTTTATTGCCACAGCACCCTGTCCACTCTTGGTTTTACGTTTGTTTCTATGTTTTTTGAACTGGTCCCGTATGTTTGCCCACATTTTTTTACATACATCATCTGCAAAAAGATATTATAGAATGAACAAGTTAAGTAATTTTCTTTACAACCTGTATAAATGGTACTGTTAATACATAATAGCTCACTGTAGTACAAAGATACCGCAAAATTATACCATTATTATTTTTTCAGGTTCCTGGCTACTGGGGATTCGTTTAAAACTATTTCGTACAGTTTTCGATTGGGGCATTCAACTGTGACCGAAATTGTACATAGCACATGTCGATCTATCGTTAAAAGATTTAAGAAAGACGTTATACCAGAACCAACAGAAGAAATGTGGCGTAAAATTGCCGAAGATTTTGAAAAGCTTAGAGGTTTTCCAAATTGTATAGGCGCATTGGATGGAAAACATTTTGTTATTGAAGCCCCAGCCAATAGTGGTTCTATATATTTTAATTATAAACACACATTCTCAATTGTTTTATTGGCGTTAGTGGACGCATGCTACAAATGTATTGCAGTTGATGTTGGCGCTTACGGACGAAACAGTGATGGTGGCATTTTTGCACAATGTAATCTTGGAAAACGTTTAGAAAATGGGACGCTTCATGTACCTATTGGTAAAAATTTACCCGGTTCCTCTACGTTTGCACCATATGTAATAGTTGGTGATGAAGCGTTTCCTTTGAAAACATACCTAATGCGACCGTATCCAGGACACCAAGCAACAGGTGACGCTAATAAAACGAATTTCAATCATAGACTGTCTTTGGACCGGCGACTAGTCGAAAATGCCTTTGGTATTTTGACACAAAGATTTAGAATATTTCAAAGAAGAATGAAACTTGCTCCAGAAAATGTTGATTACATTATTCTATCTACATGCGTACTGCATAATTTTTTATGCGAACAAAAAGATTACACAGGGCTTATCAATCATAGTGCACAAAATGCGCAACCACATTTATTAAATCCATTGAGCGTTCAACCAGGAAGACCGGCTAATGATGCATTTGCGGTAAGAGAAACGTTTAAAGAATATTTAGCGTCAACAGCGGGACGTAATTTTATAGGACAACAGTATCAAGAATAAATACATACTTACACTATAATATACTTCTTATAATTTACCTAACATATTCTAAAATACCTACTAAAAACCGATAATCCCACTCACATGTACTTACATGTTGTCGTAAAGTAATTAGTGACACTTGAATAACTATTATAAATGTAAATTGAAATAAAAGTTACAACTTACCAGATTGTTTTATTTCGTCCGAAATGGTTTTCCAAATAATATTTTTGTATTTGTTATCTAAATACTTAGGATGGGTACTTGCGCACACATTCTAATAATTTTTCATCGTCCA